GCCGCTCTCCCAGGACGCACGCGCAGGCGCCGTCCCACTGGCCAAACTCCCAGCCCTGAGTGCTCCTGCGCATGCGCTAGCGGTGGCCCAGGAACCACCCCAGCACTGCTGCGCGCGAGCAGCCCCGTGGACCCAGAGCGCCTCCGCTCCTGCTTGTGAGTACGGGCTTCGGAGGGCTCCGCCTCGCGGGGTCCCAACACCCTCACACCTCCCCTGGCTGGAAGCAGGGACCAGCAAAGGGAGAATCCTCAGGCATGTGCCCAGGGCCACTGTAGCTCTTTAGGGACCAGGCAGTGACTTCAGCTGGGGAGGGGCACAGTGAGCCGTTCCCCCACTCAAGCTAATCGGGGAGGGGGGGGAAGGCTCAGCTCCGGGAGGGGAAAACCCAGGGATGATGGGAAGCTGTTGAGTCAATAGGCGATGTTTTCCCTCCCTTTGAGTCATACCCCAGGCTGGCCGGAGGAGGCCCAGGCTACTAGGATGTGGCGTTTCCAGAGAAGTGCAAAAACCCAACCTGGCTGCCGGGCTTTCCACACATGGAGGAGTTAACCCCACTGGCCTGGCCAGAGTCCCAGCATGAGTGACACGTTCTGAACTCCTTGCCCCTGCCCACTGTCAGTGCGTGTGAGTCCTGCTTTCCTGGCTGGCACATGATGTGGGTTTCTGTTCCAGAGCTGGCCTCCCCCAGAGGTGGCTGCATCCTGCCCTCCTCCGCTCAGCCCTGCTTCTTACGCTCCGGGAGAGTCGTGCCAGCTCCTTCTCCCTGAGCCCCTTTGAGGGCTGGGGGGGACCTTCCGCTCTGCCCCCTGTGAGATCTGGAAGACCCTCCCCAAACCTCAGCCTTGCTGGTTTCCTAGTTCACCTCTAAGCCCCGCTCCATCTGCACCTCAATACCCCTCTACCCTCAGGGGGGCGGTCATCCTTGTGCAGGGGAGCATCTTGTCCCATTGACCTTAAAGGCACCGTTCACCTAGTCGGGGGCAGGACTTGTCACTGCAGGGAAGCACCGTGGCATGTCTGGGGGGACGGGGGCGGGATGGCTCCTTTCTCAGCTGGGAGCTGGCTGGCTGCTGCATTGAAAGTCCATGCAGCCAGGGGCTGTTCTGAGCAGGGATTCCCGGCCCCTTGTTCTGTCTGCTGAGTCCAAGATTGCTGTCGCTCTCCCCGGCGCAGCAGGACTCAATCGGCCAGGATGCCTTCAGGCCTGGACCGCCAGGGGCTGTGCCGCACGGGCTGGCATTTGCACCAGTGCAGCCACCCAGAGCACGGGGCCAGGCATTCTTCACACCAGTGCAAGGTCTCCCCACGAGGGGCCTGCATGACCCCCAGCGCAGACCAGCACACACCTGGGGGAACAGGCAGCTGTAGCCTACACAACCCCGAGCGCAGACCAGCACACACGCCTGGGGGACAGGCAGCTTTAGCCTACACAACCCCCAGTGCAGACCAGCCCACACGCCTGGGGGACAGGCAGCTGTAGCCTACCCAACCCCCAGTGCAGACCAGCACACGCCTGGGGGGCAGGCAGCTGTAGCCTACACAACCCCGAGCGCAGACCAGCACACACGCCTGGGGGACAGGCAGCTTTAGCCTACACAACCCCCAGTGCAGACCAGCCCACACGCCTGGGGGACAGGCAGCTGTAGCCTACCCAACCCCCAGTGCAGACCAGCACACGCCTGGGGGGCAGGCAGCTGTAGCCTACACAACCCCGAGCGCAGACCAGCACACACGCCTGGGGGACAGGCAGCTTTAGCCTACACAACCCCCAGTGCAGACCAGCCCACACGCCTGGGGGACAGGCAGCTGTAGCCTACCCAACCCCCAGTGCAGACCAGCACACGCCTGGGGGGCAGGCAGCTGTAGCCTACACAACCCCGAGCGCAGACCAGCACACACGCCTGGGGGACAGGCAGCTTTAGCCTACACAACCCCCAGTGCAGACCAGCCCACACGCCTGGGGGACAGGCAGCTGTAGCCTACCCAACCCCCAGTGCAGACCAGCACACGCCTGGGGGGCAGGCAGCTGTAGCCTACACAACCCCGAGCGCAGACCAGCACACACGCCTGGGGGACAGGCAGCTTTAGCCTACACAACCCCCAGTGCAGACCAGCCCACACGCCTGGGGGACAGGCAGCTGTAGCCTACCCAACCCCCAGTGCAGACCAGCACACGCCTGGGGGGCAGGCAGCTGTAGCCTACACAACCCCGAGCGCAGACCAGCACACACGCCTGGGGGACAGGCAGCTTTAGCCTACACAACCCCCAGTGCAGACCAGCCCACACGCCTGGGGGACAGGCAGCTGTAGCCTACCCAACCCCCAGTGCAGACCAGCACACGCCTGGGGGGCAGGCAGCTGTAGCCTACACAACCCCGAGCGCAGACCAGCACACACGCCTGGGGGACAGGCAGCTTTAGCCTACACAACCCCCAGTGCAGACCAGCCCACACGCCTGGGGGACAGGCAGCTGTAGCCTACCCAACCCCCAGTGCAGACCAGCACACGCCTGGGGGGCAGGCAGCTGTAGCCTACACAACCCCGAGCGCAGACCAGCACACACGCCTGGGGGACAGGCAGCTTTAGCCTACACAACCCCCAGTGCAGACCAGCCCACACGCCTGGGGGACAGGCAGCTGTAGCCTACCCAACCCCCAGTGCAGACCAGCACACGCCTGGGGGGCAGGCAGCTGTAGCCTACACAACCCCGAGCGCAGACCAGCACACACGCCTGGGGGACAGGCAGCTTTAGCCTACACAACCCCCAGTGCAGACCAGCCCACACGCCTGGGGGACAGGCAGCTGTAGCCTACCCAACCCCCAGTGCAGACCAGCACACGCCTGGGGGGCAGGCAGCTGTAGCCTACACAACCCCGAGCGCAGACCAGCACACACGCCTGGGGGACAGGCAGCTTTAGCCTACACAACCCCCAGTGCAGACCAGCCCACACGCCTGGGGGACAGGCAGCTGTAGCCTACCCAACCCCCAGTGCAGACCAGCACACGCCTGGGGGGCAGGCAGCTGTAGCCTACACAACCCCGAGCGCAGACCAGCACACACGCCTGGGGGACAGGCAGCTTTAGCCTACACAACCCCCAGTGCAGACCAGCCCACACGCCTGGGGGACAGGCAGCTGTAGCCTACCCAACCCCCAGTGCAGACCAGCACACGCCTGGGGGGCAGGCAGCTGTAGCCTACACAACCCCGAGCGCAGACCAGCACACACGCCTGGGGGACAGGCAGCTTTAGCCTACACAACCCCCAGTGCAGACCAGCCCACACGCCTGGGGGACAGGCAGCTGTAGCCTACCCAACCCCCAGTGCAGACCAGCACACGCCTGGGGGGCAGGCAGCTGTAGCCTACACAACCCCGAGCGCAGACCAGCACACACGCCTGGGGGACAGGCAGCTTTAGCCTACACAACCCCCAGTGCAGACCAGCCCACACGCCTGGGGGACAGGCAGCTGTAGCCTACCCAACCCCCAGTGCAGACCAGCACACGCCTGGGGGGCAGGCAGCTGTAGCCTACACAACCCCGAGCGCAGACCAGCACACACGCCTGGGGGACAGGCAGCTTTAGCCTACACAACCCCCAGTGCAGACCAGCCCACACGCCTGGGGGACAGGCAGCTGTAGCCTACCCAACCCCCAGTGCAGACCAGCACACGCCTGGGGGGCAGGCAGCTGTAGCCTACACAACCCCGAGCGCAGACCAGCACACACGCCTGGGGGACAGGCAGCTTTAGCCTACACAACCCCCAGTGCAGACCAGCCCACACGCCTGGGGGACAGGCAGCTGTAGCCTACCCAACCCCCAGTGCAGACCAGCACACGCCTGGGGGGCAGGCAGCTGTAGCCTACACAACCCCGAGCGCAGACCAGCACACACGCCTGGGGGACAGGCAGCTTTAGCCTACACAACCCCCAGTGCAGACCAGCCCACACGCCTGGGGGACAGGCAGCTGTAGCCTACCCAACCCCCAGTGCAGACCAGCACACGCCTGGGGGGCAGGCAGCTGTAGCCTACACAACCCCGAGCGCAGACCAGCACACACGCCTGGGGGACAGGCAGCTTTAGCCTACACAACCCCCAGTGCAGACCAGCCCACACGCCTGGGGGACAGGCAGCTGTAGCCTACCCAACCCCCAGTGCAGACCAGCACACGCCTGGGGGGCAGGCAGCTGTAGCCTACACAACCCCGAGCGCAGACCAGCACACACGCCTGGGGGACAGGCAGCTTTAGCCTACACAACCCCCAGTGCAGACCAGCACACACGCCTGGGGGGCAGGCAGCTAGAGGAGGAGCTGGAGCAGGATCCCGAATTGGGCCTGGGGGGAAGTGACTCCCCTCTGTCCAAGGGGGGATAATGCCGATGCCAAGCCCCTCCTGGGGGTGCGGGGTAGCATGGTTACGCACTTTGGGATCTGCAGCGGGCGCAGGCCGGGGCCAGGAGGAGACAGGGCCACAGGCTGATGCTCCCAGTTGGCCACTTTATGAATTCGGTACGTGCCAGAGCTTGCCAAGCGCCCCTCAGCCCTCACAGGACAAGGGGGTTACAAAGACCAGACGGTCTAAAGGGGACAGAGCCAGCCCTGGGGCCACGCAGGGGCCGCTCTGCTGATGTACAGCCAAGTCCCAGCTGGGGTCTTTGCCTGATCCTGCCAGCCCGGCATGCTGCTCTGAGTGCTTTGCGGCGCTGATGCCAGTTCAGGGCACCTTTGCCCAACCTCTCCCCCTGCCATCACTGGAGCAGGTGCTGGGCTGGGCTGGGCTGACATCCTGGGGGTCAGTGCTCCCCATCTTCCTGGCACCCCACGAGTTTATCCAGCCAGTCTTCAAGGATCCCCCCCCATCTCCCTCAGCAAAGTAACAGGCTGGGAATGCAGCACGCCGGGGGAGGGGCCCTGCCCTTGCTGCAGCACCAAGTGGGGCCTGAGACCACTGTGGAAGTGGAGGACATGCCACGGCGCCCCCAGCTGGTGAACGAGATGATCGACAGGCTGTCCCGGCTTGGAAGGGCACCCAGGCGGCTGGCAGGAGATTTGGAGCAGGTACCTTCAGGTTCCCTGGGAGGCAGACGGGGCCCTTGAGTCATCCCAGCAGCGAGGGGGATCCTCGCCAGCGGGCAGCGTAGGCCCACCCCACGGAGGGCTGGGACAGGAGCAGGTGTCAGGGCCCCTGGTGCACACCTGGCTTCAAGCTGAAAACCAGCGGCACGTTGAAGACACGTTTTCTGTGTGATCTGCAGTCGGACGCTGGCTGGGACCCGGGGCCACGTGGTAGCAAGCCCCTTCCTGGGCGAACGCATGGGGACCGAGTGGGTCGCGCCGGGTCAGAGCGCTAGCACAGATGGGAACACTGCAGCATCTGCCGGAGAAACACAAACGCCTGGGTTAGCAAAGGGCTCGCGCCACACCGCAGG